CCCCCCCAAAAAAAAAAAAAAAGTATTTTTTTCCGTCTTTTCTTTCTTTTTTTTTTTTTTTGGACTTACAAAGAATTGGGATATTCAAACCCTAATTCTCTCTTGCTTTCTTTTCCATTTGGAGCAACGATATTCAAACAACACGGACCACGTTTTTGTTCCACGCGGACCACGTTTTTGTTCCACGCGGACCACGTTTTTGTTCCATACGGACCACGTTTTTGTTCCATTCGGACGGTGTTCTGTTCCACGTGGACGATCTTCTGTTCCACGTGGACCCCCTGGGCGTTAAACACACAGATACAGAGAAGATTAGCATGCCCCCTGCTCCCCTCCACGTGGACCAGCAGTACTGGTCGTCGACAGGGACCAGGTCCTGATCGACGTTCTCGCATGAACGTGACTCCACATATCTGCCAGATTCATGGGCCATTGACGCAAGTAGAGCATCTCCGACTTCCTCTTTTCTTTTTTTCTTTTTTTTTTCTTTTTTTTCTTTTTTTTTCTTTTTTTTTCTTTTTCTTTTCAAACAGAACTGATTGATTTCGCTATTAGGTCCCCCTCCCAGGCAGTTTCGGGTTCTCCACATGGACTACCTACCTTCCCGGTGGAGACATAAATGCACCTGGCCTGAATGGTGTCCAAGAATAGGGAAAAGCGTGACCGGCAAATTTGGCGTCGACCAGATTCTTCACGGCGGTCTAGCAAAAAAAATCCCTTCAAATTTTTTCAACCAATCTGCTTGTCGTTTCGTACCTCTGGCGAACACGTGTCACATCATCATCCTCTCTCTCCCGCCCTTTCCGTTTGATTTGTCATAAAAAAAGAAATTCAAAAAAAAAGGGGGCGACGGCCTTGGAGATATCATCGTGCACACCCAATGAACTGTTGAAACGCCGACGCAAGTTCGAATCCAGATGCAATCAGATGAAGAAAAATGAAAATAATTCTGAAAAACAAAGTAACTCAGAATTATTTTCAATTTTTTTTAACCTGATCGCATCTGGATTCGAACTTGCGTCGGCGTTTCAGCAGTTCATTGGGTGTGCAAACTGAGCTACGCTCGTCGTGCTCTCGCCCTGTTTCTTTCTTTCTTTCTTTCTTTCTTTCTTTCTTTCTTATTTTTTTATTTTATTTTTCCTTTTTTTTCCTTTATTTATTCTTAAAAAACTAAGCTATATTATTCTCTCAATTTCACCTTTCACTATCTACCTACCACTACTCCTAAGCCTATACAGGAGACCCCTGCAAGCATAGCTTTCTACCTCTCACAATTAAGGGGATGATACATGTTCTTTTTCTTTTTTTTTCTCTTTTTTGTTTTTTTCCTCGCCCTGTTTCTCTTTCGTCCTGAACACGTGTGACCCAAACAGTGCACCCACGACACGTGTAAGCGTTTAATGACGACACGCGGCGTGGTCCCACTAGCAAAGAGGATCAGATAGAATGCCTGAATGGAGATGTGCAGGAAATCGAGATTGAACTGCTTTTCTGCATCTCCGCTTAAAACACATCCAGATTCAGAAGCTCGATCCTATCCTTTCTGCTAGTGGGACCATGCTCACGTGGTACACCACCCACTTGTTAATTGACCAAGTTTATAACGAATTTATAAATCATCATTTGTGAGGTCTCCGTCCGGCCTCAAATTGATGTTTTGAAATATAAGATTGAATTTTTTTTTTTGTTTTATATATGATGATTGAAGGCACAGTCGCCAACGCGAGCCTGAAAAAAAAAAAAAAAAAAAAAAAAACATATCGCTGTTTCTTGCAGATATGTTTCGTGTGTTTCTTTCCAGTTTTCATTACTTTTTAATATTTTTTTATGCCAACAATTAATGACGACACGGGTTTTAATCCGAAGACGAGAGGCGATGACGACACGCGTCAGCCAACGACGTGTAATCATGACACGTGTAAGCTGAAGACGACACGTGTCAGCCGACGACAGGTTGTAAGCCGTTGATGACGACGGGGAGTGGTTTACGATATCAGGGCTGAAAACTCAATTAATTTGTCTTTCTCGTCTTTTTTTTCCCTTTATTTTGGTTAAAAAGGACGATATACATTCGGTGGAACAAGTACGAGTGGTGGTAATTGAAACAGGGCTGAAAATTCGATAAATAAATATGTCTTCTTCTTTTTTTCTCTCGTTAAAAAGGGCGACGATGGCCTTGAGATAAACTCGATTGAATTATTCTTTTTTTTTCTTTTTTTTTTTTAACGTCGACGACCTTTCGATATTTTATTTATTTCATTTTATTTTAGGGATGGTTTGCAAAATAGCCCCATAAGTTGAGATATGTGCCAAAATGCCCCTAAAAGATGTGGGTAGAGCGGAATAACCCTCTGAAAAAAAAAGAGTTTGTGAAATGCCCCTAGCATCTGTTGGACCCCCATCTTTGCGATATACCCCTACCGGGTATCGTCCAACTTTGCAAAATGCCCCAGTACTTGCCGACTTTTCCTAGGCGCTATTGCAAAAGGCCAAGGCCCAAACGGGGCCGTCCAGATTGCAAAGTTGGACACCCGCCTGACAGGGGCACAACACAAAGATTACGGCCCAAAAGGGCATTCCGCTCTACCCACATCTTTCAGGGGCATTTTGGCATATATCTCAATTTATGGGGGCATTTTGCAAATTATCCCTTTATTTTATTTTATTTTTTATTTTTTTATTTTTTAAATTTTTTTAGATATTACTATCATTGAACTGGAATTTCAGATATATTTTATTTGGTTCGTCGAATTGCATTTGGAATCGAACTTGGGTCTGTAATGTGACAGATCCTGATGGGTCTTTTTTTTTTTTTTTTTTTTTTTTTTTGGGGGGG